CCCCAAAGATGGGGGGGGGGGGGGGGGGATTAAGAGCATACTCCTCCATGTTCTGAAATTCTCTTCTGTTAGAAGCCTAGAAGAATTGTAAGTTTTTCCAGAATAGCCAAAACTTTGCTGATCAGAGAATATAAACTATTTTGATACTTCCTTCTGCTGAGGCAGGATTATAAGGAAGAATCCTTCTATGCTGAAATGTCTTTAGCCCCTCATATGTGCTCCTACTAAGTGTCCTCTATTCAAGTGCGGTAGGGAATGAAATGACAACATGCTGAAAAAAAAAAAAAAAAATCACTTGAATTCAGCTATTTGGTTTTTTTCCTGGACTTTGCCAGGAAGCGTATTAACTGTCTTGATCATATTCAAATTCTTCAATATCTTGACTAAAAATCTGAACATTTCCTTGGTTATTTCACTAGCAGTTGCTAGAAAGGCACCAAGCTGTTTCTCTCTTCTCAAGCAGAAGATAAAGGTGGGGGGTAGGCATCTACCTGTGTTAAAGAATTCTTGTTTAGAATGGAATTTTGGATCTGTTTAAAAGACCTTTTTATAAAGTGAATGATAAGCCACAGCAGAAGAAATGTAAGACTGTTTGGACTGTTCCCCTCCTGCCCATGTACAGGTAGAAGTAAATTACCCAAAACAAAATAGTTCTCTGGTAAGAATCTGTCCTTTTTAAAGATTTCTTCTCTCTTTTTAGGAAATCTCCTGTAGAAAGAAAAGTTGTTCAGGCTTTAAGAATTCCCCATGAGAATTATTAACTATAGAAAATTCAGAGAATGGGCATCTCTTTGTCAAGAGATCCAGTCTGATCATAAGAGCTGCTTGCTGTCCTTGGACAAAAACCTATGTTGTCTTCTTCCAGCCGCAAAGCAAGCTGGAAACTTGTCTCATTATTCCCGCTGCCATTTTTCTTAACAGGAACAAAGACATGAAGGACTGGGAAAGAAAAGGAGAGCTGAGGACTTCACATAACACAAGCCTTCAACAGCTCTGCTCCACCCTCAGCTGAGGTGTGTGATAAAGGAGAACTATTGTCAGGGAGGTGGGAAAGGGAATGAAACATCTTTCTCACAAGCAGGGAGAAGCTGGCTTATATCCATTACCTCCCTTCTCCTCAAATACATTAGAGGTAAGAGCAAGCTGTCATCTCCTCGGGAAGGTACCAAAAGATGCAGAAGAATTAGGCGGTAATAAAGAAAGAAGCACCAAATTCTATAGAAATTAAAAAAAAAAAAATCCAGAAGAGAATTCTATATTTAATCTCTGTCCACAAACTCAGCCCCAATAGTGATATTCTTTCTAGAGGTGTTACATGCATTTTTGCTTTTCTTAACTCGTGTCCTGATCACACGCAGTCCATATACACTCATGACTGTGTACACACCATACTATCTTAACCTAAGAGCACACTAGCAAAATGCATTAGTCTACCAAACCATAGGTATTTGATGCTGAATGCATTAAGAAACTCAGGAACACCTTGAAAGCTCTTGGTTTTGAGACGTCTAGGTGAAATGAACAACGGTTTTGCCAGCCTACACATGGTTGTGTAGGAAGATTATTACAGCTCCTGACTGATTAGCTAAACTGTCTCTGGGAAATAAAAAAATAAAATTCATCACATTTTGACAACTGTGCACACACAGACATCATACAAAGAGCTAACTTAAAGGGACAACATCATGACAGAGTTTGTTTAAAAAGACTATCAGTAAAAAGTGCAAAGTGCATCTCCTCACACAGGTAGGTACCAGGGTTTCAGTGAGCAGTAGTTTGGGTAAGAAAAGGCAGATTCCACTAGCTTTCTTATTTCTGCATTTGATATTTATAGCAGGAAAACTAAAATTTGATAATGAAACTACTAAGCGTGAATATCCAAATCTAGGCTATTCTCAGACACTTAGGTCTCATTAAAAACCAGAAAAGACTAGTCCAAAACATTCACTAATTCCTAAAAGGAAGCACAAAGTATTGGTTCGTTTATTAGGATTATCTTTACAGTACATATTACATTTTTATACATATGCCTCCTACTGCAAAATGCTTGTTTTAACCTGCTATGAATAAACAATGGGGATTAGTTGTATGAACCACAAGTCAGAAAGATCTGTGCAAGCACCACTGATGGAAAAATTTAGATTCTACTGTTTGAAACATCCTTCCTTTCATTAAAAGCCAATTAAGAGCAATTTACCATTTCCTCTACTTTGATAAGACTCCTTTTTTACTCTTCAGAGGCTTCTGGAATTCCTGCTGAAGCTTATTCCCCTGTTTGGAATCAGCTTCAATTTATGTTTCTCAAGCAGTAGGTCAGTGTTGCTGAGTTTCACTTCTGAAACCCAAGTAAACGTTGAATGAAAACAAATTTGTGAAAAAGCATCTCTCCACACCAAAGCAAGCTTTAAGAAAAAAAAAACCAAAAACCATAAATGTGGAAGCTCTTCCACATGCTTCACTGTGAACTTGTATTTTTGCTTTTCTTTTAGTTTTAGAAACAGAGCAAGATATGTCTTAAATTACATTTTCCTTACCTGCAAAATTAACAGGCATAGGCAGTGGCTTGCCATTCTACAAACTGTTTAATTGGATATTACACTTATGACAACAGATTTTTTTTCTTTTATTCTTACCATTTCAACTGATCCATCTTTTGGATAATACAGAAGTTCATAACGCCGAAAGAGTGAAGCATTTGGGTCATACCATTCAGCAGTGAAAGCAAATCTGTCATCGTGACTCTTGAAAGAGAAAAGAGGGGAAAAGGACTATTACAGAAAGCATACATGGTTTATATGTAAAAACACACAAATAAAAAAATTCCTTGCATTTGTTATCAGAAGAGTAAAAAAATCACTAGTAAATGCACTTGTACACTCTGCATATCATCTTCTGCTTACCAGAGCTGGTGACATCTTTTCACTTGTTAGCTATCATCTTTTAAGTATGATGGAAACAGCATGACAGTTTTCCAGGCAATCTTAAAACTTATTCTGATTTCATCAGTCATGAAATGTGGACTGTTGTAGAAGTTGTTGTTAGACTTCTCAACTTTGTGAAAATATTTGATTTATTTTCATTTGTTAAAAATGTGTTTGCTCACAACTAAATTATACAATCTTAACACATTTTCTACACATCCTACAAGAAAACACTTTCCTCTTCCTGAGCAGTCATATCTGAACTCCTGTTGATGATGAGATAAACATATTCATATATGTTAAGGATATTAGTTTGATTCACTACTTAACTTCCTGAAATTTACATACAGCATTAATAGCCCAATCTCATTTACAACTCATTTTCTGCCCCTAAGGAGTGTGACAAGAAAGCTAGACTGCAATAATTCTAAAACTAGCTACATGTGTAGCTTCTCTCCACTCCTCATCCTTCAGAGGATAACATCCTACAGAAAAGTAAGCACAAAGGTGATGCAATGCATGTCATGATGACATGCAGCTCTAACACCTCTTAGCGGTATATGTTTGTTAGCTACTGATGCTGCAATATCAGTTATTTGATAGCTGTTAGACAGAGCTCTAAACTTTTATTTTCCACACCTCCTCTAAATCTGATTGCTACTCCTGAGGGTAAGCATGGTCTTGTCACAGGCTTCCACTTCTTTACATGTATCTGTACTCTTCTTATACATCTTAAACAATTAGGTACCACTGGGAGTTCAAGCTGAAGCCACATAGGCCTTTTTAGTCCTTCAGATTTTAGAAAACAGCAGCATTTCAGTTGTTTCAAAGACTGCTCAATAAGCAACAGGACAGAGAGTTCCCATGGGGTTTCATGACTGTTCTGGAACACCAGCAGGAAAAGAATCATAATCATTTTCCTAGTGAGTGCAAGCCTATAGACATACACACATGTAAAAAAACCATTAAACCAAACCAAACAAAAAAAAAAGAAAAAAAAAGAAAAAAAAAAAAAAAGAAAAAAAACAAAACAACAACAGTGATCTTGCTTTTGTTGTCAATGCATTTTTTTCTTTAAGCATCTTCAGCTTAAAACTGACTTAGGACTAAGTGCTTTTGCAGGTTGAAGTCCTAGCACAAGCAGCAGCAGGAAAGAACGAGATAATGAAGAACAATTTCAGAATTTTACAACGTGATGAATACTTGTACCTGTTCACTTAACAGCATCGTGGCAAGTGCCCCACCCTCCTGTCAGCCCTTATGGTACCCCTACACTACAAAACAAAGATACGATTGTATCACAGCAGCACAGTGCTCTGTGAAGGACGCAAAGCTTTAATTTCTAACTGTAGAAGTCTGTACAGCACTGAAAGCCTTATTTACATGAGCTACTTTAAGTTCTGTGTTATCTCTACACTGCACACTGCAGCCTTTGACAATGCTTTAACTCGTGTTTTAGGAGCAGCATCCAGCACAAAAACTCCCTAGGGACTTAGCCAGGTTTATGGCCCTTACTTAAGCCAGAATATGCTTGTGTCTTCATTGCTACTGCCGTTATTCTGGAGACATGTAAGCCAGAACAAACTCTTTCTTATGTCAAAACTCACACCTTAATTTTCCTATATAGGCATGTCACTGGCAGTAAGCAATAATAAGCATTCACAGACAATAATAAATGACTGATTTCAGCCTTCATCTTAAACACACTCATACTGCTGGAATACAAGACGAAACATTTGATCGATTAATTTGACCATCATCTTGTCAAGGATGGATGTTACAAAGAAGCAGTTCTCTACCAAAGTGGTTGTCTAAAAAGAAAAAACAGTCCTGTTTCTAGAGTATTACCTCTAGAAGTTGACTAGTGACGTATGAAATAAAAAAAGATGTACCATCCTTAATCAATGCCTCCTCATAACATGAAAACATATATAATTGCATTACTTTGTGCTATGTATTTCATACTATAGCATCACTTTCAAATATATTTTCTAGGTAGCAGTTGGCAGAGAAGCTACTAATTTTCATTTAAGCAAAAATTCCAAAACTTCCAAATGCTTACTTGTCTTGGGGAAGTAGTGTATTTACGTGAACAAGCAAAGAAAACACCATTAGATTTTTCACTTAGTCACCAGTATCAGTCATCAGCACCTTCACGTTTACAGTGAGAAACTACATTGTGTGTCTTGTCTGGTGAGGAATTGGTCTGCTTTTTTTCCTTTAACACAACCTTGGTTTTAAGATCCACTTGAAATACATTTTATAAGATCTTACTCAATGTCTGAGCTATTCATGTTTGTTATTCAGCAAGCTCTGCTGGCCACTGCTTCTTATTCAGCTGAATGGCAGAAATGACCATTTTGTATCATCTTCTTTTAGCACTGTAAGCAAAGGCAAGGTAATAAATGCTACTTAGACTTGAAAAACAGTGCAGAGCTAACCCCCAAATACCAAGTAATGTTGTCAGTAAGCAGGAAAATTTGAATCAATTATTGTTTTGTATCTGGAAAATATGGAGAGCTAACAGTTTTCTAAGAGACCAAATCAAAAGTCTGTAAAGCTTCTCCTGGGCCATAACTAGAATTTCCTCTGCTTCATGGACATAAAATGATCACAATATTTCTAAATGCAGAGAACAATATCAGAAGAAAACTTAAGAGCTTGTGGGAAACACTGTACAAATAACTGGAAATTGATTATGTTTGTAAACAGGTAGATCATTTCAGAGGCACACACTGCAAAGTGAAGAAATACAATATTAAAAGCAAACTGAAGATCCTGCCAAACGAGTATAATGTAAAACACAGCAGGACTGCAACATTACTATTACAGAGTCATGCAAATAGTCTCAAAACAGATAGAAGACAATCCTGAATATAATCATGACACGGAGTAATGTGAACATATTCTGATGAGCCATTGCCAGGCATCCCTGTAAAACTGCCACTCCAAGTCATCAAAAACACCAACCAATTTAAAATAATAAGTTTTTAAAAGTGAGTACCCATTAAGCTCAATATACATGTTTTAAAATGAGAAATGAGGCTTTTATTTACTTATTTAATGCAGGAGTAGGATTCTGAAGGCAAAAACCACCCACAAAAACCTGTCCACTTCCCATCACGTATTGTAAGGATTGCAATAAAATTTGAAGTCTTCAAGCCCTGAAATTATCTTTCCTGAACATTTACTTTCAATCAATATACTGCTCAATCAACAGAACTGGTACGGCAAACAACTTTCTTACATACCCTTTCACTAGTGTGCCCTAGACTGCAATGTGGGAAGGAGTCTCAAAGATGAGAAAGTACTATGGGAGACATGCTAAGTTTCATCCTTGGCTTCTGTTCATCCTTCTAACAAAGGAAACTCAGAGAGAAAATAATTTTCCAGAGCAGAGTGATTAGAGACCAGTGATGACCTGTCAGGTGGTATCGTGTTCAATGCACCACACTGCTCTGGACCAGCATTGAGTCCTGAAATGGGAAGATTTCACAGCCCTTGACCAGAAAGCCCCAGCACTTCATTCCCCCGGGAAATGGCTGAAACACGTTAGTCACTAGTGAAATCACATCACTGTGAACAGCTCAAGTAATAACAAATCAAATGAATCTATAAATACATTATAACTCAGAAAATTCTTGCTTTGAAACATTAGTTTCCATTGATTTCTGTACTGTACCCTCATTAAAAACACACACTCTGCTCTCATGACTACACAATTAACCAAGCAATACCTAATGGGGGAGAAATAATTTTTCATAACTTTTCATATCAGTGGAAAAATTACCAGCATTAAAAAACCCAGCAGTGACTGGCACTTTATATTTACATACTGACACTTTTAGAGTAGATGTCCTTAGCTCAATTTTTACAGTCCCTTTCCATGGTAAAATCTAGGGCCACTGAAATCAGTGACGTCAAGAGTTCATGTACTGTGAATATGGAAAGAATAATCTTTTTCTTTCTTCCTCCTTTTACAAGCTGCACGGAAAAACATTTGGATGCATGTGTAGGTTTTGCTAGCTTACGCTTTTTTGTTTATCTTAGTATGTGTGAATATGCAGTAGGATGGCTCTGTGCACAAGAAACATTTATGGAAGTACAGCTGAATTAAAAAAATTAAATTTTGTACTTAGTTCTGGAAGTGATGGGGGAAGCAGTCATTCTTAGCTAGCATGGGACTAAGTTCTAGAACCTAAATCCAAGCATTTACTAAAGAACTGTGCTCACAAAAACCTCTGCTGCGGAGGGAGGCAGTTTGTTTGCAACATAGCTGCCAAGGAAGCTCATAACCAGAAAGCAGAATGCTTAGCAAGCTGGACAGAAAATGATCTCTTGTCCTGTAAACCTTTGAGACTTCCAAAGGGTCTCTGTTCTGCAGTAAAACAAAAGCAGAACTTCCAAAGGTTTTCATGAGAAGTAACAGTGGTAGAACAGGAGCTCAGGGACTAAGGAACTTGCATGGGAAGGTGAAGAAACAATTTTATCCTTCTGGTCTGAACCATGCAGAACATAATCTGGATTTGGTTTTCCCAGCTTCAAGATGCCTCCTGACTGCCACACTTATTTTACTATAGTAAACTTGAAATTTCATCCTAGAGTTTCTCCTACAATGGAGTACACAGGGAATCAGGAGCTATGGATTTTTTTTTCTGCTGCTCATATGCATTCTCAGACTTATCACAGTCTAATGGAAGGGCAATTTAGATGATTCTGCCCACTATTATATGGGCAACATAGTTTTACTGAGATCCTGCCTTTCGTATGACTTTCTTTTTTCCATTATACAGATAATTCTGTCCCATCTCTGTGATCTG